GGAACAACTGTACACACTACTGGTGGTACACACGTCCCTCTGGAACAACTGTTCACACTACTGGTACTACACACGTCCCTCTGGAACAACTGTTCACCCTACTGGTGGTACACACGTCCCTCTGGAACTGTACACACTACTGGTGGTACACACGTCCCTCTGGAACAACTGTACACACTACTGGTAGTACACACGTCCCTCTGGAACAACTCTTCACACTACTGGTAGTACACACGTCCCTCTGGAAGAACTGTTCACACCACTGGTAGTACACACGTCCCTCTGGAACAACTGTACAGACTACTGGTGGTACACACGTCCCTCTGGAACAACTGTTCACACTACTGGTGGTACACACGTCCCTCTGGAACAACTGTTCACACTACTGGTAGTACACACGTCCCTCTGGAACAACTGTACACACTACTGGTAGTACACACGTCCCTCTGGAACAACTGTTCACACTACTGGTAGTACACACGTCCCTCTGGAACAACTGTTCACACTAATGGTAGTACACACGTCCCTCTGGAACAACTGTTCACACTAATGGTAGTACACACGTCCCTCTGGAACAACTGTACACACTACTGGTAGTACACACGTCCCTCTGGAAGAACTGTTCACACCACTGGTAGTACACACGTCCCTCTGGAACAACTGTTCACACTACTGGTGATACACACGTCCCTCTGGAACAACTGTTCACACTACTGGTGGTACACACGTCCCTCTGGAACAACTATACACACTACTGGTGGTACACACGTCCCTCTGGAACAACTGTTCACACTACTGGTGGTACACACGTCCCTCTGGAACAACTATACACACTACTGGTGGTACACACGTCCCTCTGGAACAGCTGTTCACACTACTGGTGGTACACACGTCCCTCTGGAACAACTGTTCACACTACTGGTGGTACACACGTCCCTCTGGAACAACTGTTCACACTACTGGTGGTACACACGTCCCTCTGGAACAACTGTTCACACTACTGGTGGTACACACGTCCCTCTGGAACAACTGTTCACACTACTGGTGGTACACACGTCCCTCTGGAACATTTGTTCACACTACTGGTGGTACACACGTCCCTCTGGAACAACTGTTCACACTACTGGTGGTACACACGTCCCTCTGGAACAACTGTTCACACTACTGGTGGTACACACGTCCCTCTGGAACAACTGTACACACTACTGGTAGTACACACGTCCCTCTGGAACAACTGTACACACTACTGGTAGTACACACGTCCCTCTGGAACAACTGTTCACACTACTGGTGGTACACACGTCCCTCTGGAACAACTGTTCACACTACTGGTGGTACACACGTCCCTCTGGAACAACTGTACACACTACTGGTAGTACACACGTCCCTCTGGAACAACTGTTCACACTACTGGTAGTACACACGTCCCTCTGGAACAACTGTACACACTACTGGTAGTACACACGTCCCTCTGGAACAACTGTTCACACTACTGGTAGTACACACGTCCCTCTGGAACAACTGTACACACTACTGGTGGTACACACGTCCCTCTGGAACAACTGTTCACACTACTGGTAGTACACACGTCCCTCTGGAACAACTGTTCACACTACTGGTAGTACACACGTCCCTCTGGAACAACTGTTCACACTACTGGTGGTACACACGTCCCTCTGGAACAACTGTTCACACTACTGGTGGTACACACGTCCCTCTGGAACAACTGTTCACACTACTGGTAGTACACACGTCCCTCTGGAACAACTGTACACACTACTGGTGGTACACACGTCCCTCTGGAACAACTGTTCACACTACTGGTAGTACACACGTCCCTCTGGAACAACTGTTCACACTACTGGTAGTACACACGTCCCTCTGGAACAACTGTTCACACTACTGGTGGTACACACGTCCCTCTGGAACAACTGTTCACACTACTGGTGGTACACACGTCCCTCTGGAACAACTGTTCACACTACTGGTAGTACACACGTCCCTCTGGAACAACTGTTCACACTACTGGTAGTACACACGTCCCTCTGGAACAACTGTACACCCTACTGGTAGTACACACGTCCCTCTGGAACAACTGTACACACTACTGGTAGTACACACGTCCCTCTGGAACAACTGTACACACTACTGGTAGTACACACGTCCCTCTGGAACAACTGTTCACACTACTGGTAGTACACACGTCCCTCTGGAACAACTGTTCACACTACTGGTGGTACACACGTCCCTCTGCAACTTTACAACTGTGAAAACGGAGTCTTCCTCTCTTACATTGGCATCTGATCCTACAGCGCTGGGTGCCTTCATGCTGGTTAAAGGCTCTTGATTCCAGGAATTAGAGCTGCCCTTCCCTTGGATCAAGCGTCATTGTTTGCCATTCCCATAATAATAATAATAATAATAATAATGTAATATAATATAATTAACTAATAAAAAACGCTGTCAATGGCTTCTTGAAGTGTGTAGTGTTAGGATTACTGCTGAGACGTTGATACTTCTCTTGTATTACCACGTGTGTGTGTGTGTGTGTGTGTGTGTGTGTGTGTGTGTGTGTGTGTGTGTGTGTGTGTGTGTGTGTGTGCGTGCTCGTGGTTGTAGGGGGTCGAGTCACAGCTCCTGGCCCTGCCTCTTCACTGGCCGCTTCTAGGTCACTCTTCCTGCTCTATGAGCTTTATCATACTTCTTAAAGCTGTGTGTGGATCCTGCCTCCACTGTGACTGAAGAAATACTTCCTAACATCCTTGTGATTCATCTGAGTCTTCAACTTCCAACTGTGACCCCTTGTTGATTTGTCCCATCTCTGGAACATCCTGTGTCTGTCCACCGTGTCGATTCCTCTCAGTATTTAATATGTCGTTATCATATCCTCCTTATCTCTCATATCCTCCAGTGTCGTCAGGTCGATTTCCCTTAACCTCTCCTAGTAGGACATACCTCTTAGCTCTGGGACTAGTCTTGTTGCAAACCTTTGCACTTTCTCTCGTTTCTTCACGTGCTTGGCTAGGTGTGGGTTCCAAACTGGTGCCGCATATTCCAATATGGGCCTAACGTACACGGTGTACAGGGTCCTGAACGATTCCTATTAAGATGTTGGAATGCTGTTCTTAGGTTTGCTAGGCGCTGCAGCAGTTGTTTGGTAGATGTGAACCTCAGGAGATGTGCCTGTTGTTATACTCACCCCAAGATCCTTTTCCCTGAGTGATGTTTGTAATCTCTGGCCCCCTAGACTGTACTCAATCTGCGGTCTTCTCTGCCCTTCCCCAATCTTCATGACTTTGCACTTCATGGGGGTTGAACTCCAAGAAGCAGTTACCGGACCAGGCCTGCAGTCTGTCTAGATCCCTGTGTAGTTCTTTTTGGTCCTCGTCTGTGTCTGTCTCTTTTTATGTCTCACATCACCTCTCTCTCCTCACCTTTCCTCGCCTCCTTCCGTCCATTCCTTGCTCCCTTTCTTTCCTTTTTTTCCCCCTTTTGTACCTCCCATCCTACCCTCCGCCCTCCCTTTATTTCTTCCTCCTCCTCCAAGTCACTTTATATTCACTTCTTCCCTTCTCCTTCTGGTCTTTCCCGACCTTCTGTTCTACCACCCCTCCCCTCTTCCCAATCCTACCTCCCCCTCCCCTCCTCTCTCTCTCTCTCTCCTTTCCTCCTCCATCCATCTTCTCCGATCTCTAGTAATATATTTCTTTCATGTTGTCATGTTATGTTGCATCTAAATGATTCCATTATTCTTGTTCCCTCCCACACTGTTGTTAGGCTCTTTTGTGTCTGTTAGTGTCTGCTCTGTCTTTTGTTAGTGTCTGATGTGACTGTTGCTAGTGTCTGATGTGACTGTTGTTAGTGTCTGATGTGACTGTTGTTAGTGTCTGATGTGACTGTTGTTAGTGTCTGATGTGACTGTTGTTAGTGTCTGATGTGACTGTTGTTAGTGTCTGATGTGACTGTTGTTAGTGTCTGATGTGACTGTTGTTAGTGTCTGATGTGACTGTTGTTAGTGTCTGATGTGACTGTTGTTAGTGTCTGATGTGACTGTTGTTAGTGTCTGATGTGGCTGTTGTTAGTGTCTAATGTGGCTGTTGTTAGTGTCTGATGTGACTGTTGTTAGTGTCTGATGTGACTGTTGTTAGTGTCTAATGTGGCTGTTGTTAGTGTCTGATGTGACTGTTGTTAGTGTCTGATGTGACTGTTGTTAGTGTCTGATGTGACTGTTGTTAGTGTCTGATGTGGTTGTTAGTTTATGAAGTCTCTGTTGTTAATGTATAAAGTCTCTGTTGTTAGTTTATGAAGTGTCTGATGATACTGATACTGATTTTGAAAGTTTTCACCTATCACCATCATCATCATCAATTACGTCACTTTCATTACTAGGACTCGTCTCACCACCTGTGGTGACCGTTTACCCAGGAGTCATGGCGCCGGGCTGGGCCAGGGATGGGGGGGTAGGAAAACTTCTGAAACAGGCCACAGGTATATCACAGATATTATTAACACTTTGGTATCTTCATGGTGGAGAAGTTTCTCCTATGTAGCAGGCTTCTTCAGTCGAATCCAGAGGTGACTAATATACAGGAGATCATTGAGGAAGTGAAGGTTTGAGGTGTTCAGTCTCTCAGCCTAGGAAGTGAACACCTTCCATCTAGGCTGAAGGACTGAACACCTTAAGATGACTATTCCATTTCAACCAAGGGAGGGACTGAGCACCTCACATTTCCACTTCATTGATCTTCTAGTTATTAGTCACCTCAACATTCGACTAAAGCAGCCTGCTGCGCAGGTGATTCGTCTCGGCAATAAAGATATTGAAATGTTGCACATGTCTTATTCAGATCGCAGAGTTGTTAGTTTCTTCGAGAAATGCTTACACGTGTGTGTGTGTGTGTGTGTGTGTGTGTGTGTGTGTGTGTGTGTGTGTGTGTGTGTGTGTGTGTGTGTGTGTCAATAATGCTTATTGATTCTAACTATCTATGTTATTGTTGCAGTATGGGGTGTTTCGGGAGCAAGGAGAAGCTGTCTAAGGAGGACTTGGAGTTTCTTAAGACACACACCAGATACGACGAGCAGATGATCAAGGAGTGGTACAAAGGTTTTAGGGTGAGTACCACACATACCTACTTTGTTGTATCTTGTACCTGCTTGATCAAGGAGTGGTACAAAAGTTTATAGGGTGAGTACCACACTACCAGCTTTGTGGTATAAAGGAGTGGCACGAAGACTGAGTCAACTACCTTTCACTAGTGACATCAGTCAGGCCTTGATGGCTGCGTAGACCTGGGTGTTGCTAATAACCACAGTCTGGTTGACCAGGCACTTTACAGGATAGAACATACTTCCATCAGTACCTCCGCAAGAGCCAGATCAAATAGGCTGTGATGGGTAAGTGGTCCAGCTAGCAGCCAGCAGCCACAGCCAAGCAAGCACTCGACAAGGTAAGACTGGGGAGAGTAGGGAAATTCTCGAAACCCATTACAGGTATACCACAGATATGAGTCGAGTGTTATTCCAAGCATACCGTCCGTAATATACTGTGTGAGCGACACTAAAGGCAGGCATTTCGGTTTTAATAATAAAAATAATTGTATTAAAAATTATAACTAAAATAGCACTAATAATTGAAATAAAAGTTATCTCTGAGTATCAGTTATAATTATCATTCCCAGGATGATTCATTTCCCGTGTAAAGGTGGGAGTTGTTTCCCAAGGACGAGGGAGAGACAGCTCACAGAAAAATGTCTTAATTAACATCAGTGTTGGTGAAAAACGTTATCTGTGGCGCCTCACAGCAGACGTGTGTTCATTAGTGGTGGTGGTGTGCCAGACATTGCACACCTAGGCTGATTATTGTATGGTTTTACTGGGAGTGTAGCTCTTATTGCTGCTGTGGTTTAGCTACTTCTTGGTGGTGGGGATGATTTTGTTTCTGGTGAGGTGGAAGTTGAGGGGGGAGAGAGGGAGGGAGATACGTGTACATCTAAGTTTGTGAGAGTATATTGACATGTGCACATGTATGTTATGCGTATATACCTGTGACATACCTGTAACCTAGTTGGAAAGGTTTTATTTTGTTGTTTTTGTTGATGTTGCTGGGAAGATGTTGCGTTGCAGCACAAACATTTGGGATATTCTTTCAGGCCAGAGAAGACGACCAGTTGAACCTCTGCTTCACTAACACTCCAGTTTCGAGACAGAGGGGAAGGGGAGGGGGGTTGCAGGTTTCCAGTTTTTAAAGGTTCCAGCCCCGGTCCTGGGCTGCAACCTTTGAAACTTATACTAATGACAACGAAATGAAATACTGAAGTCATAATATGTGATCAGTGAATCGTTAATCAAACACCTGATAATCCAAATGAATTTTTCATTTGAGACTCGAAACTGAGCAAACATCTTCAGATTTCGGACATAACCATAATTTGACGAGATTTTGAAGCTTGTAATATTATGTCCACTTGTCCATGGTCTCTGCCCTAGGCACAGACTCGCTGGACTCCATTTTCATTAAGACTTGCTAAAAATACCTATGGAGAGCGAGTCTAGATGCAGGAGTCATCCTGGTCATTAATATTAACAGTGTAGCATCATTCCACAAAGATGGCAGGAGAACAGTTGCAAGAAACAATACAGATATTGATGATCCATATTATCTACATCTTTTCACGAGGTTTAAGGTAAACACATGGCATCGGAACATTTACACAACCCTGGTCAACACGGGTTCACAGCACATCGCTCTCGCCTCAGTTGCTGTACCATTGCGACGCGGTCTTGGATGCACTGGAAGAAAATTAATATACAAAAGTAGCGTACACAGACTTTACAGATGTCTTCGATAAGTGTGATCACGGTTTAATAAGGCACAAAATGCGTGCAAATGGAATAACTGGATAATTGGACAAATTGATTTCAAACTTTCTAAGGAAACCTGTACAGAGAGTAATCAACAAATTACAGAGGCTGCCACATTGAAAAGCTTTGTTCCTCAAGGCACAGTACTCGCCTTATTCTCCTCCTCATTCTTATATGAGACAGAAACATAAACCATAGAACTATATCATCCTTTGCGTATAATGCTAGAATTTTGTTCGAGTCTGGCATCTTTTGAGGATACAGCAACTGTTGAAGCTAATAAGCAAGTCTTCCGGTGGGTCACCAACAGTAATATGTTGAATGAGGATAAATTTCATTTGCTACCCAGTGGAAAAATTAAGGAGCTAAAACATGACACGAAGTTTAAAACAAACTCAAGCTCATCAATAAAAAAGAAAAGTAATGTAAGGGAATTATGAGTGATAATGTTATAATATATTATGAATATTCAAGGATCATAAGTGTTATCACTGGGAAAATTCTAGGCAGAATAACAGGCAATACCAGTAAGGTGATATTGTTAATGTCACTTCTTCTCTCGAGACTGGAATATTGCTCTACACTGACAGCCCCCTTTAAGGCAGGCGAAACTGGGGAATTTACAGAGAACTTTCACTGCTTATGTAAATTCAGTCAAGCAAATAAGTTACTAGGATTTTTTTTAAATCCCTCGAGCTGTACTCCCTGGAACGTAGGCGAGAAAAATAAATAATAATTTTCTTTTGGAAGATTCTTCAAGGATTGGTCCCAAATCTCCTAACCGAAATCACTCTTTACGAGCGCAAGAAGCTCGACTGAATTACTGCAGAGGTCCTAAGAGTGCACTAAGAGATAACTCTATAAGTGTAAATTTACGGAATCAAGACTTTATATCAACCTTCCTTCATACATAAAGAGACTCGCCAATAAAAATCTGGCCGTCTTCAAGAAGGAACTTGATATGTTCCTTGTCAATTACTGATCAGTAGGACTGTGGTGCGTACACTGGACCACCAACAGGTAGCACCAACACCCTGAATGACTACGCCATCCAACAGGAGGCCTGGTCTGGGACTGGAGACACTGACTTCTAGAATCATTTACTATAAATACAATAATAATGCTGATCATTCTTTGTCTAATTATGTTTCCACATTCTGCAGTTGCTGCCGCCTCTGATCTCCACGTCATGGTCTGTGCTTTCTTAACTTTCACAACCTTCTAGGAGGTCAGCGGCTCCTTGATATTTGCTTAAGGATATGATCAGTGATGACAGAACCTTAATTAACGCTGCCCAGTTTTTCCCTGACTGCTCTCTCACAAGATGACTCTAGCTACTCTTCTTCCCACCCCTCTTCCCCGAAGCTGGGTCACCTTAACGTGGTGGTAGGGTTTGTAGTTTGTGTCTGAGATAGGAGGACCTCTTCTCTGGGGAGGGTGCCACTCTTACTCACAGTCTGCTAGCATAACAACTAGGTATATCTTTCGGCATAAATGGTGGGGATATTTCTCTTTGCGTCTAAATTTTGCTCAAGCTCCTGCCCGATGACATGAATCGTTTTATGGATTATGAAAAATACGGATTTGTGAAAAATAGATTTAGATCACATAATTATGATTATTAGGTCATATAGTATAATTATAATAGGTCACATAGTATAATTATGATTGTTAGGTCACATATAACTATGATTATTAAGTTACATAAATCGTGAGATTCTTTAACTTTAAATATCTACTAAAATATTAATACTAATATTTGAAGAGCACTTTATTAGAGAGAGACTATAAAAACTTAGTAGTGTTTAGTGTATCAGTGTTACCTTCAGTGTTACCTCCGTTGTATCAGTGTTACCTTCAGTGTTACCTCCGTTGTATCAGTGTTACCTTCAGTGTTACCTCCGTTGTATCAGTGTTACCTTCAGTGTTACCTCCGTTGTATCAGTGTTACCTCCGTTGTATCAGTGTTACCTTCAGTGTTACCTCCGTTGTATCAGTGTTACCTCCGTTGTGTCAGTGTTACCTCCGTTGTATCAGTGTTACCTCCGTTGTATCAGTGTTACCTTCAGTGTTACCTCCGTTGTATCAGTGCTACCTTCAGTGTTACCTCCGTTGTATCAGTGCTACCTTCAGTGTTACCTCCGGTGTATCAATGTTACCTTCAGTGTTATCTTCAGTGTTACCTCCTGTGTATCAGTGTTACCTCCGTTGTATCAGTGTTACCTCCGTTGTATCAGTGTTACCTTCAGTGTTACCTCCGGTGTATCAATGTTACCTTCAGTGTTATCTTCAGTGTTACCTCCTGTGTATCAGTGTTACCTCCGTTGTATCAGTGTTACCTCCGTTGTATCAGTGTTACCTTCAGTGTTACCTCCGTTGTATCAGTGCTACCTTCAGTGTTACCTCCGGTGTATCAATGTTACCTTCAGTGTTATCTTCAGTGTTACCTCCTGTGTATCAGTGTTACCTTCAGTGTTACCTCCGTTGTATCAGTGTTACCTCCGTTGTATCAGTGTTACCTTCAGTGTTACCTCCGTTGTATCAGTGCTACCTTCAGTGTTACCTCCGGTGTATCAATGTTACCTTCAGTGTTATCTTCACTGTTACCTCCTGTGTATCAGTGTTACCTTCAGTGTTACCTCCGTTGTATCAGTGTTACCTTCAGTGTTACCTTCAGTGTTACCTCCGTTGTATCAGTGTTACCTTCAGTGTTACCTCCGGTGTATCAGTGTTACCTTCAGTGTTACCTCCGGTGTATCAATGTTACCTTCAGTGTTATCTTCAGTGTTACCTCCTGTGTATCAGTGTTACCTACAGTGCATCAGTGTTACCTTCAGTGTTACCTCCAGTGTATCAGTGTTACCTTCAGTGTTACCTTCAGTGTTACCTCCGGTGTATCAGTGTTACCTTCAGTGCATCAGTGTTACCTTCAATGTTACCTCCGGTGTATCAGTGTTACCTCCAGTGTATCAGTGTTACCTCCAGTGCATCAGTGTTACCTTCAGTGTTACCTCCGGTGTATCAGTGTTACCTCCGGTGTATCAGTGTTACCTCCAGTGCATCAGTGTTACCTTCAATGTTACCTCCGGTGTATCAGTGTTACCTCCAGTGTATCAGTGTTACCTCCAGTGCATCAGTGTTACCTTCAGTGTTACCTCCAGTGCATCAGTATTACCTTCAGTGTTACCTCCAGCGCATCAGTGTTACCTTCAGTGTTACCTCCAGTGTATCAGTGTTACCTTCAGTGTTAC